CCTCCTCCTATTCCTCCCCGGGCACAGATGGTGGCGGTGGAGGAGTAGAGAGTGTGGTGGATGAGTGGAAAGTTGTCTACCACTATAATCTGACTTATGCGCAAGCCACCGCCCCTGCGATACCAGGCTATAAAGCACATGATGGAACTCGCCGAATACGCGGGCCAAACTGTCTCTCATAAGTATCAACATTAACACTGCTGCTTTCAATACTTTCTTTTTGTGTCCTTCCTTACGAAGCTGTGTGCTCTGCCCACAGTCATTGAATATTCCGCTGTAGCTGATTGATTTTGCCCCCAATATTTTTTTCAACTCTCGGACCGAGCCGGAAAAGGTTTGTTCCGCAGGACTTACTCCAAGTTCGTGCACTGATTTCCTCGGAAATTGAACAAGCCAGGGTGCCCAATCTCATGAAATATTAACCGAAATTCCGAAACCCGTTTTTTTTGTTTAGTAAGGATTACTGACTACCTTAGACACGCCAGCATGTTGAATTTTGAATGCATTTCTCCTCGGCCGTCGGGAAAATCTACTCTTGTTAAAATGGCTACTTAAGTACCATGCTCTTTTTTCCATTGCTGTACGATAGTCTTATAGATTAGAGTATATTTTGTCGAAGCCATACTCAAAAATACCATTTATCATGCTCATCTGGTACAAAATCACGTCCTATGAACATTTTATACTCGAGTGAAGGGTTTCTTGTGGTGTTACAAAGTTCTTCAATTCCCGGATTATTTTGAGCCCGACCGGTCGTTGCCTTTGTGTTTGAGACTTACAGTCTACAAACGGTATACTTTCTGCCTCCTAAATTTCATGCATTCCTGTCGTTAAGAAGAAAACACAGAGGGCTCCTACAAATTTCAAAATTAGGATGGACTATATTGTATACTTCGGAAGCAGTGTAAGCAAACGGACAGATACGATGCTGTTTGAAGTAATATTTCATAATTGCAAATTTTCTAAAAAACGAAATACATTTTTTCTTCTAGTGTAACATTTATAGACGTGATTTTATACCAAATAAGTACAAGCAGGGATATTTTAAGGATGGTTTCTGTAAAATGTTTTCAATTTATAGAGTAACCAGGAATAGGTAGGAAAACATTCATGCTACTTAAGTAGTCCCTTTTGTGCAGTGTGCCGGCACCTTGGCGTGCGTGAAATGTCTTGGTAGTCTTGCGTGGTAAGCATTATTACAATCGCGATTACTTAATCCATCCTAATCGAAAACGCGTTCCCGAATTTCATTTAAAGTTTTCTGAGGTTGGTCACGGAGCGTACTTGATGGTATTGTCATTACCACGTGCATGTACGCCACCGAATGGGTTGTCAACTCTGGGTTGTCAACTGATGTCACACTTAAGGACACCGGGCGATAGGCGTTTTACAGTTCAACTTGCATGCCAATTATTCTTCATTCTTGCTACATTTTTGCTGAGCTACATCAGTTAAAGTCGTAAAAACTAAGCGCGCACAAACGTTATTAACTGTAGACCTACGGTTTTGTGCGACAGGAGTCCTCACAACCCCTACGAGTTTCGGATAGGAGCAAACTAAGGTCGACACTGAGACCTCGTACAGATGTTGTCGCATATGTGTTCTGTGTCTAATAATATTTGACCATGAGGCATTCGGGAACTTGCCCTCTCCCGTATTTACGTCGAACACGTTAGTTTAACTGTCTCAGCAGTTCCCTGAGTGCTTTATAGCTATTAGAAACCCCCAATAATCGGAATAGGACAACCAGATGCGGTCACTACTCTGCCCACTCTCAGTAAATAAAATCGACTTGTAGGTAACTTCACCTTTTTATGTGTTCATATTCTCTTCACAAGCACGT